ACCTACTTTCCCAGACTAAAATGGGTGGAGTGGGGCTAGAACCCGAAACCTATTGGCTGAAGGTCAAGTGCTTAAGTCAGTGAGTCAAATCAATTGATTGGTGTGACCTGAGAACTTATTCAGCTTATAGTATTTTTAAACTCTGAACTCAATTAAGCAAATCACAGCGACTACATTAGATTTTGCTCACAGACCCACATAATAACTTAGCACTGATGCATTTAGTTTTAATTAACTGATCAACAACTGCTTCATTTAAGGATAAAAAAAACCATTACTCCACATTCAAGCATCATTTACATGATCTAAAAGTGCATCGAAACAAAACAAGACCTCTGAACTTGGATAGAAACCCGGTAGACAAAAAAAGATAAAAACAAGCAACAAACACAAAAAAGCACTCATTTATGAGTAAAGTTCAGTAGAAATCGTTAATTAGATACTAAACTCATTTATCAGTTTTAGGTCGTAGTATTAATAATGCTAACGTGTAAGTCACCGATAAAGAGACTAAAAGACGTTAATAGCATTAGCGGAAATCGGTGTATTGTGACTGCGAAAAAAAGAAAGTAACAACATTCAGTCTAAACCTTCATCTTCGTACCGTCTTTTTCCTTTTTTTAGATAAAAAAAACAGATAAATGTGAATTTGTTCAGATTAAACTTGGAATTGACTGGATGAATTTGCGAGCCTACTGTACCACTGTATTCGTACATTTAAAAACTACGTTTTACCTCGTATCGAAATTTTTTGCATTCTGTATTTACATATTCTTAATTATTTCCACTATGACAACTCTTCGATTCCATGCAGTGTACTTAGCTGATGAGGTCTACTGGAATCCATTAAAACAACTTTATTGATCACTTCAGGTACACCAGAGGCAAGTTTCCTGAAAATGGTGAAATAAGCACAGTATTCTAAATTTCAAAGTTGTCCAGTTTTTAAACAACCAATCTTCTGTTAACTAATACAATATAGAAGTAAAGGATAACACAATCCTAGCTCAATTTCGAAAATATATATAGTAGAGGGAATGAGAATCCCTTCGTAGATGTGATGTCCATGTGTTTGTTGTAAGCTAGTTGGAAAGGTGCGGAGCACATATATTACACCACTAGAGATATTCTAACCTACTCGGAAATGTCAAGATTTAACAAATATTATTAAAAATGATCCTATTTGTAGCTTTATAATACAAGTACAAATTCTACACCTACAAGAATGTGATAGGCCAGATTACCCTTTGTTTTACGGTTCAACCGATCTGGCGTAGTGATTGCACATAAATATCTCAATAACTTTACATACCATGTTAAATGGAATCAACGCATGACGGATCGGCAGCAAGACGAAAAGCAGTCGTCATCATAATGTTTCATAATTTACGATGGTTGGGTGTCGCAGTGCCAGTGCGGAAGGATGTGGTGGCTGTCAGGCGTTCTCAAGTAGACCAGTTGTGCTACTCTTAATTAGATGAATTAAAAAACGACCAGCTGAAAAATTATACATCCCAATTTACTCTGCTGAAGTAAGGATTCTTGAAAGGATCAGATTGTAGAAATTTGATCACTTTTAGTAGGCTGGAAGTGACCGAATTTAGGAGGTTTCCCTTTGGACTTTGTGGTCACACGAGTTCAAAAAAGTTGACTACTTGAGTGTGAGAAGCAAACTGTCTATCAGTTTTCAACATAGAACTTTGCACCGATGTGCGACAGTTCAAGTTGCCACACTCCATGTAGCACACAAAGCATGAGAAGCAATTAGGAAGAAATGGAAAATAGAGACTGTAGACAGGGATATGAGACAAAAGGAATAGTAATAACGAAGAACAGTATAGTTTTATTAGGTATTATAAATCGCAAGGAGTGGATGCATCTGCGCCAGCCATTGAGAACGATCACTTTGAGCCATATCACCAATTGTCTCCAGCCATTATTGCTATCCGACCTCCTGTAGGAATGCATTACATACTTTGATTGAACACTAGCTAGCAACCAGTGTGTTGTGTCTAGTCCTTTGTATGGTGCAGACTGAATTCTATCAGTCTAGTTTCCAATATGGCCACGAGTCAATTCAAGGTTGTAGATACGCCTAGCTGACGACTGTCAGCTAGCAAGAAACCTAGGTCCAAGGCTTCTTGCCGATTGGCTTCCAGTCATCTAATATCAACAATCAAAGTGTACCGTGATGGCCAGCCCCCTAGAATAGTAGCCACATTGCAAACTTGACTGACAGAATTAAGCCTGTAGCAAACAAAGAACTAGACACTTTACACTAATTACTAACAGGCGTCCAATCAAACTGCATAAATTTTAAACCCCTCCTGTTCTGAAACATTTCCTACAAAAAATGAACCTTTCAGTAAATAAGTCTTATATTCTACCAGCAGGTTATTAAATGTTAAATGATAAAATTAATGGTCACTGTCATGTTTCCATTATGGGTAAATTTTTGTTTTGATAAAGTCTCACAGTGTTATACAGTCATGTTTACTGATGACGTTTCGAGCACAATTTATTGCTTATAATCATATCAAGGTCTTGATATAAAAACAAAATTTACCCATAATGGAATTACACTCTACCACAGAGCACAAGTTTTATTCTTATATCACTGTCATGTTTCTCTGGACAGGAAGTGCTTAAGCTGCTCAATCACCAAAATCAATAATTGTCGACTTATTGATGGTGAGACCATCCGTGATAACCTTGAATTGATGGACCACCAATGGATTAATGGATGGTGGATGCAGTAACAGGGTGACCTTAGCTCAGCTGGCAATTCGGAGGCTTCTGGTTCACATATTACTGAGACCGGTTTTCATTCCACCTTCGATCAACACCCATTAAATAAACAGTCGATTGATTCAAACAACGACTAGATCTGCTGTTAGGACACTTGCACTTTGAAATCGTATATTCCTGACATTAAATTAGTGGGAAATCACTAAAAGGTCAGATCAAATCATAGAAATTTAAGACATTATGAGTTGGTTTTATCATCATCAATTGAATACCTATAAAATCTGTGTTACTTTAGAAAGAGTCTTCTGTTCGAAATCTGCACCAACCTATGGAATATTGATCCGCTTATCCTACGAATAATCTATTACGTGATAAAGAAACCGTTATACTACTGCAGTGGACAAACAAGTGGTTTCTCATCGTGTATGCACTGTACCGTTTTCAGACAATTTGACATTACAGCTAAATATCAAACACTATATATAAGAAGGTAAGTAACGTGGTGATGTTTCATATCTGTGTACTGATCACTACTACTAATGTACAACACTCTCACCTCACCAATTAGCAACTTTTTAGATGATCAGCAGGACTGTTAACATAAAGGAAGGAAAGAAATCATTAGGTTTTATTTCTGAATGGGTGGGTATCTTAGATTCCTGTGCCAGAAGTGCAAACTCTGAAGTATGTTTCTGGTTTAATATTTAAATTATTACTCCTATGAATCTCATGATTTTTGCCCCTAGATTTCGCGGAATGTCATCTATATGAATTTTTTATACGAGATAAAAGCAGTCTGATACATTACTATGTCAACCACTTTCAAAGAACGCTACAGGTCTAACTATGATAGTGAGCAGAGCGTTAAAATACTCATTCTAATTTCAACTTACCGATATCTGAAGGGAGTTCTGATAATTTATAGGTCAGTGATGGTTGTCTTTCTGGACTCATGTCCAATACTTGTAATTCTCTTAGCATAAACAATTCCGCTGGGACATTCTCCAAGTCTTTCCCTTGTAGTTTTAGTTTCTTCAGCCCTGGATAGTCAGCATCGTCATTTTCAATGTAAAGCCTTAGTGAAGCACTGGCCATAATTCTCCTTTAGGTGGTAATACTATAATCCACACTGATCAAGAAATGATTTTATAAGCTGAAGAAAATTCTATTTAAATGAGTTAACCATTAGTTAATTTGATATCCTGCTGTATTTGCATTCTTTCGTTCTACTGGTTACTAAGTTGCACGAGGTCATAATTTCTATATAAGTCCTGATTGGTTAAGATGAAAACCAAGGTCATTGGTACCACTGAGAAAACCTACAAAGTCATTTATTTATACGTAATGAGATTTAAATTATGAATTATAAGTCGTATGAATGTACGAAAAACAAAACACTAGTAGAGCGAAGTTTTGTAGTCTGTTCGGAGAGATGGTAAAGTTGTTGTCGCCCTTATTACAAAGTTAGTAAAAATCAATTTAGTAGATGAACAATGATTATAGCCCACTGATATAGGCACTGAAATTTCTAACTAGTGAAATACGGATTCGAAACCACCTTTATTTTTAGGAAGTACCACCACCACCAGTTCTCAGAAAACCTTACCTTCCATTAATATTAGACTTATGATTTCACACTAACAAACCCTTCTACGCAAAGATCACATGTCTGCCACTTGAGGAAAGATATTCAAGAGAAGGCTTTAATTTGATCCACTACATAATAATCATCATAAACCACTGAACTAAAAACATACATCGATGAGATAGAAACAGTAATCAAGCAGATAATATCAATAAAATACAAAACAAATTCAAATACACTTATACGCCGTATCAACGACGAATCAAGTTATGCAGAGAGTTTGTGTAAGAAAAATGAAGAGCAAACAAATGGAGTAGAAGGGTCTGAGAAATTAAACGAAAGAATAAAATGAATGCCTAAGGACTATTTTCGCTACTGCTGTTGTTGTTGTTGTATTCTGAACAATCAACTGGTTAGAATCCCTCAAAAAAATACATGTATTAAAGAAGAGTAAATTAGAAGGTTCGTGTGTGGAACAGCAGCTATTCTTAGACAGTGATTTACATAGCTAAATCATTAATTATAACAGACTGTCATACAGTAGTGAACTTTTACGTGGGCACTGTTGAAATCATGTTTGTATTATTATACATGTTTTGGAAGATAAATCCTTAATTATTTACAAATGTCACTTTAACCTCTGCACATTGATATGTAAAAATAAGTATCACACAGGAAATCCATGTGTTATATTAATGCATGGAGATATAACTCCTGTTGAGATATCAAAATCCATACATACAGAAATTTGGAATGAATCATCAGAAGTGGAGATTTTCGTCTTCCATTCTGATGGGAAAAGAAAAACACCCTGGTGAGAACCATGAGATTTCCAAATGATAGTTTCATTTGGTTTAATAGTTTTGCTGGGACCAGCTGGTGAATACCACCATTTTTCATTAGAATGAGGTTTCTGTGCAACAGGAGTACTGTAAAGCCATTCACACCAAAAAGCTATACCATTAACAGAATTTGAGGAGGCAGTTAAGGTATTCTTGTAACACTGTATCAAATTTTCGGGATCAGCATACTGAAAATTCCCATCAAGATCAGGATTATTCTGTAAAATCATATCAAATATAACACAATGATTAGATCGAGCTGTACCAGGGTACTCCCATAACGGATGTGGTTCAATTAGTTCGTCACTTTTAGCAGAAGCATTCAGCACCAATTCATCGAATTGACGTAAATCAAAGGATTCACAAGAAAAACCTACTGGTGAACGAATCCTCCAAAGGTTTTCGAAGTCAACTAGAACAGCATACACGCGTAATCTTGTAGGACCAAATGAATGCAGCGATGAACAAGCTAGGTCATGTGAGAGGAGACTTCGGAAAGCGTACCAAAAGTACAACGAATCCCAAGGAAGAATAGCTGCGGTTATGTATGGCTCGCCGACCAATATTAAAGTAGTGTTTGAAGGCTGATGATTTGTACATTTATTATCCGTTATTTTACATAAAACGTGTTCAATAGATTGACAGTTTTCTATTGTCGACCGGGAGGATGTATTACAAGATTTGTATATGCGATCCAATAGTAGACAGGACGATGGAGACGTGTCTAAATGAATTATAAGTGACTGCAACATATACTCATCTAAACTTTTTTTAATTAAACAGGGTAAATATGTACAATCAGACACGACTAATACTTTTAGTGATGAATTTGAATCTTTTGCAATTGTACGCACAGAATCAAGGATTTTAGTAGAAAGTGTTTTGTAATCTGAAGAATTTAGCTCAGATATACGCGTTCGAGGCCATACACGGTGTAGATCACAGGTACATGACAATGGATCCAAGAATTTTTTATCATCATCATTTAATATGGCTTTTTGGTCGTTGACAGAATTATACTTGAGGGATAAATCAAACTGCATTGACAACGAATCATGTGAATATTTAAGAGTGAATGATTCATTTTTGACTAGAGAATACTCCGTTTTAGGAAAGTAAACTGCTTGCATCCAATGGTCTCTCCAAGCACAGTCAGGATCGTTTGTCCAAGTGGGAGCTATAGTAATCGATGGCGTTGAATTTGTGGGTTCCATTTGCAAAGACCACCACGTAATGAAAGCATGCGCTTTACCAGATGTAGAAGGAGTACCTAAAGCAGATAAGCATTTCTATACATATTATATATATATATATATATATATATATATATATATATATATATATATATATATTTAATGTAGCTTTTTTATAGATTAACGTTAGTGATAATTAAGTACTCAAGTTATTAAAATAAAGAGTATGTCATACAAACACTAAACAAATATCCAAAACCGTATCAAATGTGCTGTATTCCATTCATCAACACATCGGCACATTACATGAATCAAGTAGAAAACAATTTAAATTTAAAAATTTAAAAAGCACACAATTAGGCAAAGTTTATTGACTGTGACAGAAGCACTTAGGATTACATACTTCCACGTCAAATAATTTATCGAAAATAGAGCAATTAACTGCCTACAGACAGTAAGCCACTTGAAATATCAAAATGAAAAGTAATTAGTGTCATTTTATATCAAGTGACTGAAATAATCTGATAATTTTTGGGATGTACAATTGACTTAAAAGCAGATTTCGTCAAGAACCTAAATCAGAATAAAAATTGAAGAAAACTGCAGAGCAGTGGATAGTATTTTCTTGCTCTGGCAGTGCAAACACATGAGACAGTCACAGATGGAATCTGAGACACTAAGCAAATGAACCCCCTAAGAATTTCGATAGGTGTAAAGTCAATTCTATGATATATTACATTTTGAAGTCTAGATACATAAAACTAACAAGCCTAACGAAACTATCTCTCATCACGAAGTGCGTCTACAAAAAAAAGGAACTATAGCTTATCACAACCAACTCACAAGGCAAACATTAAAAGCCTCTGAAGACACTGACTTGACATTAGTAACGAATGTTCAACTAACCTGATCAAACACAATCATTTGAAATCATTACTTATTGAAGGACGATCCTAACTACATTCAGAAATTCACAATCACGCCTAGAAATTAAACACATAGTCACTCCACTGAGTGCAACTAATTCTATGGAGACAGTAATCATCGTACACACAGACTCACCACACACCTCTATCTGTAGAAGCCCATGTTTCACAGAAATCAGGGTACGTCTTCCTGACGGATTATTCCAAAACTCTGTCCTGCCCACCAAATCGAAGCCAATTGAAACAAAAAGAAATACAGTGATTGTCGGTGTACAATACGTGTGACAGTATTCTGTCAACTAGCAAAGGCATGAACAACACTCGAGCTCTTAGAAGAACTTTTCTGCCTATTTCACCACGTCTGAGAAGCACAACAACAGTCATTATTTTCAAAGCAACTGGCGATAGCTTAGTACTTCAATTATCTCTACACACTTCACGTAGGCTATTTCTAAAGACAGGACGGTGGGCTGCATTCCACACCAATAGGGGAACACCGAATCCCTTATCCTTTCCAAAACAATATAATCAGTTCCATCAACAGAGTCTCACTAACACCTTTAAAAAGTGTCAGAGGTAGTTGGTTCACTCCATGTGACTTACGGCGCCTCGGAGATTCTCCTGAATCTTCTCTTGGCTAGGGGAATCGGTGTTAACCAACGATAAAGAACTGTTATATATGTCCAAACCAAGTTCACTTTTAACAATTTGAAAAAATTTGGACATTGGGTATATGATATTCATTATAATAAAGGTTTTTGCATTTCTCAATGAATGAAAAACAAAACGATATTGTTTTTACTGACGTTTCGCTATTTAATGCTAATAGCTTTATCAAAGTATTATTATTAAACCGGAATTTATAAAATCTCAGCATACATATATAACAAAGAGTTAAGGGGTGAGAAAATAGACTTAGGTCAAGTTAAAGGGACATACTGAAAATAAAAATAACAATGAACATCACTAAACCAAATAACAAAGGTGATAGTACGTCTGTTATGATATCAAAATAAAGATGGCGAAGCGAAATTCCATATTGTAAGTCAATCAGGGATGTCGATTTGTTAAGCAATCTAATTTGAAACCTGAAATGTGAGTTTGTAAAGATTGGTTGTGATAGTCAAGTGAACCTTAGTCCACTTAACAGATGCAACATACACAGACATTGAATAAAATTTAGAATTTCTTATGGTAAATTCTCTTACGTACTTAACGTGAGGCACAGAAGTCAAATCTTAGGAATGATTTCACCTACTCCAGAGTAGTACTTAGAGAATTCGGATGACAATGGAAATACTAGGTTTTTCGAAAGTGTATACACCACGCACACTTTGTCCTAAATCGACCGAAGCTGAATTTCTAATTCAGTATATATATTTACTCATAAATCGTTGTGTTGGAATGTGGGGAAAAATTTTTTGACAAGAAAAATACATTGTGTTTTACAAGTTATTTGACACAAAAGAAAGCCGTTGAATCAGAAATAAAAACTTACATTCCAAAGTAATGAAGTCGTTTAATTTAATTTGATCAGCTGGAGGGCCAAATTCAAAGCGTTTAACAAGCTGCGGACTTTTTAGAAGACAGCGTATGCCTCTTTCGCAAGGGGCAAATTTATCATTTTCTAACTGAAGCTCTGATACTTGAATATCGAATACAGATGCAAGTCCTGAACATGATTCCATTTCTGCACATTGAAATTCTCTCAAATCTATCACTTTATCACCATTATCATATTGGAATGGAAGTAATCGATGATGCGACCAAAGGAATGGAGATTCGACAACCTCAATTATATAGAAAGAGAAACAATAGTGTACATAATTAACTGCATAAAACTTGTACACACTGACATTTTGGCGGAAGATACTGACAAGATGTCGTAAGTATGCTAAGTGGTCTTCTACGAGAATAATGAATAACGAGGGGCTGATTAAACGCGAAGAAGAGGAATGAAAGATCCTTGTGAAACAACATAGAAGAACATGAAAGTAAGACAAAAAAAGCACGAAACAGAAAACATGTAAAAATTGTAATTTTAATGCAAAGTACCTGTACATCAATTTGTCAGAAAACAATTCCGCTACCAAATGCTACCGCGTTCTTGAAACTATTCTTAAGTGTTATTTTACTTTCTAAACCGATCTACGTAATTAGTCATGGCACATCCGTATTGCAGTTTTAACTATATTATTGCGGAGACTTAAACTTTGATAGCGCCACCTGAAGTCTGATTAGTTTTAAGAAGAGGTACACCCCCTACCTTAACTACATTTTGCTAATGACCAGAAACAAGAAAAAATCTCATCTTTACGACGCTTACAGACTCTTTTGTGGTGGATGAAGCTCTGCAAGGATAATCGGAATCACCCACCATAATCATTTTGTGATCTCCGTTGGATGAAACGATTTTCCTCCGAGAACTAACCATGTTAGAAAAATCGGCTGCACAATGTCAAGACAAATTCCAAGCATACCTGTGACTACTTATAACAAATTTGCCTTATCCACTGTAAAAGGGGCTATAGTGTCTCATACGATTATGCTCTAGTGTCACTACAGCAGTCGACATACCATATTATACCTCCAATTTAGACAGTAAAACCTTACTATTGACATGAACAGATCTTTGTGAACAAAAAATTTCTATTTGACATTTCTAGAATCCTGTCAAAAGAAGTAAAAGACATTAGTATATTGAACAGCACACTCGTTCGTGCACAAATTGTCGCTGCATACGCTGAGGCTTTCAGATGCGATTAAGTCTAAACAAAAGATAAATCGATGAACCGAATGATATACAAAAGCATGGCGGCTGCTAACTAAAGATTACGAATAGCAAATAAATGAACATCAGGTATGTTTCAAAGCCAGTTAAAAAGATAAACTGAAAAAATCCCCGTACATAGGCGGATATGCTAAGGTTTGCCAAATTATGAAACAATTGATAACCAATAGTTAAAAACATAGATATGCGGGTGAGAGAGGGAATGACATTATTAAATAAACAATAGTGAAACTACTAAAGGCAGAAGCCTCAGGATGGTCGGGGGTGGGTGCCTTGCGCTGCGGGTTGGCCACCCCTCCGCACACCTCTTGAAATGCTCCCATATGACCGGGCGTCTTACATAGCCTCTCCTGAGGAAGTCCTACTCACTGCCTTCACGTGGCGGAGGTGTTTCTCACCAAAGTGAGAGGGCGAAAGCGGATGCCCGGCGCTCTCCACTGGGTTGACTGTCCATTGGATGACGGTCTACGGGAGATGGCTAAACCCTGATTCCAAACCTCCAACGACTGGCGTATGAAGCTCACTGGAGCTCACCGGCAGACGTATGGACAAAGGGCTTGTTGGATGTCCTGGATGTCTGGCCCCATTCAAAAAGGCGTATGAACCGAACTCCGATCACCGGCTGCCAATGGATAGTGGACTCCTTACTCCACTACTACTGCCTTGTAGGTCACACTTGGCTGTGTAAAGGCTAGAGCTGCACTCTCAAACAAAAGGCCGAGCGATGCTGGGGACATCACTCGTACCAAATTCCCATGAAACTTCATGAACTCTCTTACAAATTGCCGCGCCTGGGCAGCGATGATCCGAGACGTTCATGAAGCCGGCTCATCCTCCCGTAGGAGATAGCCGAAGTAAAGTAAAAAAAAAGTAAGAAACTGAATCTATTTTTGCTTCACACTGAGACCCGTCAATCACCATATTCTTAACACAGAAATTCCGATCTATAGTTCCCTCAGTGACATGCTGACAATTAGAGGTATCCATGGTCCGTGCAATGTTACAGTTTCGCCACTCCAAGCTTTTTTAAACATGGCATTAATCCAAGCTTTAATCAATGTCTTCGCCTCCAAAGCCTCAGTATGGTCGGGGGTGGGTGCCTTGCGCTGCGGGCTGGCCACCCCTCCGCACACCTCTTGAAATGCTCCCATATGACCGGGCGTCTTACATAGCCTCTCCTGAGGAAGTCCTACTCACTGCCTTCACGTGGCGGACGTGTTTTTCACCGAAGTGAGAGGGCAAAAACGGATGCCCGGCGCTCTTCACCGGTTTGACTGTCCATTGGATGACAGTCTAGGGGAGATGGCTAAACCCTGATTCCAAACCACCAACGACTGGGGTGTATGAAGCTTACCGGCAGACGTATGGACAAAGGGCTTATTGGATGCCCTGGATGTCTGGCCCAATTCAAAAAGGCGTATAAACCGGACTCCGATCACCGGCTGCCAATGGATAGTGGACTCCCTACTCCACTCCTACTGCCTTGTAGGTCACACTTGGTTGTGTAAAGGCTAGAGCTGCACTTCCAAACAAAAGGCCGAGCGATGCTGGGGACATCACTCGTACCTAATTCCCATGAAACTTCATGAACTCTCTTACAAACAACTCTCTTGGCGATGTCGCAGGGATGGACAGCTGAAAACATGGCTTGGTACAGTCAAGGCTGATATGGAGTGTCTGGGGCTACAAACCGTCTACGGACTCCGTCTGTGGAACAAGAATTGGATAATCCTGTTGCAAAACCTTGCATCAGATCGCCGCGCCTGGGCAGCGATGATTCGAGATGTTAATGAAGCCGGCTCATCCTCCCGTAGGAGATAGCCGAAGTAAAGTAAGTAATGTCTTCGACAATCATAATTTATCTGTCAAAACGCACCCCATAAACCTTTGCAGATGAATTCCCTATCACGTTATTTTCACCAGGTAACACCATTTTAACATCATCACTACACAATGAACAATTCTACTCCATGTCAGCAACCGAATGACGACGTTTACAGTACTATAACGCAGGGAATTGCTGTACAGTATACATATCTGTTGATGAATACTCGGGCAATACACCTGCATTAAAGATGATGCAAGTAAGAAAGTACCAAAAGAGCATTTCGCATGCGTACTGAGGTCTCTTTGAGGTTAAGGATGATGCAACTTCCCAAATAAGTGAAATGGTCAACAATTTCACAATCTATTCTTAGACTGTAATTCCATGTGAACGAATTGGGCAGCTACATCTTACATTTGACAGGGTCAAATTAGCATGTCAAATATACTCACATTTCTACTCAGTATGTTGTAATATGGGCTCTCAATATGAGGGGAAGAAAAACAGTATAGTTGAGTGGAAATGTGTTAGCTCACTCACTTAAAGAATTCAAGGAGCGCTCATAACTTGATATTGATTTTAGGAATCTTCTAAATTACTGTTCTTTATCGTTGGTTAACACCGATTCCCCTAGCCAAGAGAAGATTCAGGAGAATCTCCGAGGCGCCGTAAGTCACATGGAGTGAACCAACTACCTCTGATACTTTTTAAAGGTGTTAGTGAGACTCTGTTGATGGAACTGATTATATTGTTTTGGAAAGGATAAGGGATTCGGTGTTCCCCTATTGGTGTGGAATGCAGCCCACCGTCCTATCTTTAGAAATAGCCTACGTGAAGTGTGTAGAGATAATTGAATTACTAAGCTATCGCCAGTTGCTTTGAAAATAATGACTGTTGTTGTGCTTCTCAGACGTGGTGAAATAGGCAGAAAAGTTTTTCTAAGAGCTCGAGTGTTGTTCATGCCTTTGCTAGTTGACAGAATACTGTCACACGTATTGTACACCGACAATCACTGTATTTCTTTTTGTTTCAATTGGCTTCGATTTGGTGGGCAGGACAGAGTTTTGGAATAATCCGTCAGGAAGACGTACCCTGATTTCTGTGAAACATGGGCTTCTACAGATAGAGGTGTGTGGTGAGTCTGTGTGTACGATGATTACTGTCTCCATAAAATTAGTTGCACTCAGTGGAGTGACTGTGTGTGTAATTCTTAGATCTGGTGGCTTGTATTTGAAGAGTTGAGATAATTGTCTAACAGATGGTGTCAACTCCGGTAAGACTGATTGTTGCTTGTAATCAAAAGTATGTTCACTTGGTTTCGCAACTGGTCTCTCTATGTTGCGTTATTTATAGAGCTGAAGAGAATTCATGAAACAGACGGATGCGTCTTACTTCACTCCAATGTGTTCTTTTCCAAATTTACAGAGAGAAATGCGTGTATGGGGAGATTAGATGATTTTTCACTAATGGAAGTCATATCGGAACATCAACTTTGTTGGCTTGGACATTTACTACGAATTTCAAGAGTGTGGCTTCTGAGCTACTCGATTATCGCCAGACAGAAGATTAGGTGGAGAAAGAGGTGACCTGTGCATGTAACGGAATAACAAATAACCGTCTGGAGGGGTGCAGCTCTCTTTTTCATAAAATATAGAGTGACTTGAGATACATTAACCTTATGAACAGGTGGCAATACCAATGCAGATAATGTACAACAATTAAAGTCAACAAATAACCACAAAGCGTACATTTCGAAATTAACAAAAATTTACAATATTTACCTGTACATAAATATTCGCAGCACATGGAATAAGAGAAGCATCAGCTGTTATTAAGTTTTCAGCTGCATGTCTGTAAGTTTCCAAGGCACCCTCTCCAATCAACTCAGTATCAAATAATTCTGCAACCAGAACATCAGCCTTGCGTGGCATGTCTACTCCAACGACCAAGTCGGTCGACCGCTTAGGTATGACATTAATTTTTTCACTTAACCCATTGTTATGAAGAATACGTTGCGCACATTTAGCCATTGGACGAAAAGATTCGCATGCAGTGACGAGATGGGCTCCAGCTTTCACAGCCATCATACTTAGTAAACCTGTCCCAGTCCCAATATCAAGTACATGAACAGGTTTTTCGGGATTCTGTTTTTTAAGACGTTGGATAGTGTGTTCAAGAGCTAGTCGATATTTATAATTACGATCTGAATCATGTAGCATATCTCCGTATCCAGATCGAGCGATTTCTTGGTTAAAGTCATAATCTGGGTCAACATCTTTCCACTGTACGCGCCCAATAACGGGGTTATACTGAGGAATAAAAATACTTTCTTTCTTCATCACCAGCTGAGAAACAGAAACGCGAGGGAATAGTATTACAAATTTGGAAAATAGGTATAACAGTATGATGGATTTTGCTTCGAGAAACCACCAGAAACCTAATGGATACAAAAGGTAGAAAGATGGATATTCATTTTGTAAATCTAGAGAATTAAGGGTAGACTAAAACTCAATCGTAAAGAAGTTTCTATACGCGTTATAAATTACCAAACATTTACGAACATAAAGTATATGATGACGCTAAAACCATGGCTAGTAGGTGAAAAACGCGATGCAAATGTGAACATCAGTAAAACACTAGACTGAGATAATTTATTTTACGTCTGACTCAATGTATACTCTGTTGGCAAGCTGTTGTCAGAAATTTAATCACTATTTCATTGTTAAAAATAAATACAGCAGCGAACAATCATCGTAAAACAGAATTTTGAAAGGACAGACAATAAACTTTAAGTGCACGCAGTCTTTTTCATCTCATAAGCTACCTAAAACAGATTTTTAATGCAACCAGTCACACGACCTACCCTGTGTGAGGGCTTGTGATACTACCCAGTCACCCAGGCTGAAGTAGGTGAGAGGGCGAACTGAACACAAATGCAGGTGGTCACGGAGAGTGAAAATTGACAACTAGGTCCCAAAACCGATTGCACGGAGGTATTTTCACTTTGTGGAGCAATGCGAAAATTTGTTATGCTTATTATATTGAGTATTTACTATACAGTCTATTGAATTAAACTCTTATGCCTTTCTTTGACCTTACTAAGAATTATAATCATTTTTCCAGTTTGAGCCGATTTAGTGAAGCATCAGCATTTACGCCGTAAGTGGAAAATCACTCCATTTTGCTAGATAGAACATTCAAGATACCTTCGTCGACTAGATACATACATATAAGTGGTAATACTTTTGATCACAACTTACACATTTTAGATTAATTAAGGCTCTTAAATGAATAACTCAAAAGCAAAAGCATATTTATTGGAAATAACTCGTAGATGTTCATAATTTTTGGAACTTTTCCACAACGTATATATACACGTATGTTTCACAAATGCAAATACCAAGTCTTGGAGAGTACTGGATGTTTATCTTTCAGACACTTATAAGTCGTAAAAAGCCAAAGTTGGTTTTTGGGTGATATTAAGACCCTCAACCCCAGAAACCTACAGGCTGATTTCCCCAGCATTGACCTAAGTCACTTTCTAGCTCATCAACTACGCTAAGCGCTGGTCTGAACATATGGCAAATGGGCGGTAGTGTATAGGATACCAATGAACTCATTTTTTAAATCCTAACGCAAATTGTCATCAAAACATACAAATAATGGTGAGCTAACTTTTGGTAAGGCTTGCTATTAAGTTCTATTCTAGGCGAATAAGTGTTATATTCACTACTCAATATGTCTTTGACTAAACCCGAACTTTAACGCAGGTTGAATTGAGAAATTGTAGAGCAAATGAAACCGGAAGCGGATAAGTTAGAATGACCAATTAGAAATGACTTCGTCTAACAGTAAAAAAAAACATGCTGGCAGACTAAATTACAACTGGGAGCTGTGATAATTGATAATATGGCAGAAACAGGTTTAAGCAGGTATGAACATATAAAGTAAAATTATATTTCAGTGGTTTACACAATTTAAGTTTTTGTTAGTGGTAATATTTCTGGCAAAATTACTGCTCCTGTTCATATCACTGTTGGAATTTTTTTAAGAACATCTTTCAACCTACAGATTGATCGCCCAGTCTGAAGATGATAAGAAATGAGTGAATAATGGGCATGACCAGTAGTTAGAAGTGGGTGAAATTTGGTTAAATAACAACTTTTCCTATTTTTACCAGGACTTAACCAACACTTCACAGCTTTTACCAACACTTAATCAGCATATAACCATTGTTTAAGCTTATATTTCCCGATGATTTTAGGCAATATTTTACAAAAAGATTTAACCAATATTTTCCATTATCCTGCAATAACTTTCCAGCTCCCAGCTAGCATTTTTTCGGGCGCATTGGGGGCAATAATGGTTAGATCTCTAACCATTATTTAGAAAAAATTCCGATTCTGAACAACTTTTAGTCAGGATTTGCCCATTATATTACCATTCTAATCGTGTGCCCAAAATCATGCCTATTTCAACTACTATTTAACCATTCTTCGGGCAATTATATCCGACTGGGTATTTTTAATATTAACTGATGTGAAGTGAGGTTTATATTTTTGTTTCTTTTGTTATCCTGCAACTAATATTTATCTAACATGGATCAGAAAGATAAGCAGAATGAACACCGTTATTGTTATGGTGGAGTGCTAACATAAACGTGACCGACAGACTTACAACAAAATTTCAAACTCTGCGCCACCAAACCCCTTCGTAGCTAAAAAGTATGCCCACGTTTTTTCTTGTTTTGGAACTGTTTCAGGTCCTTGTAAATTCTTATCCATGTCACTTCTGTAGTTTCGCTGAACGCAGTCGGAGAAAGAATGTCGATTTATCTTAAAGTGAATATATGATCTGTAAAAGGGCGGTAGCATTTCTGAAACATGTAGATATCGTTAGGAAAAGTTGGTAAAAACAGTGAACTAGATAGATTAAAGGGTCGAGATATTTTTCGTGCATCTTAGCTCAGGAATGTCTCTTGAGTGTGTGCGAGCAAACCTTTGGTTAATGCGCTTTAGCCTAGTATTCTCTCGGTGGTATGAAATGATAAAGTGGTTGCCACGTAAGCCGGTGGTGAGCTTCACGCATAAAAAGGTAGTGGGATCACGCCCTCCTTCCTAGCCCATTACCAGTTTTAGTGAACGCCGAGGGAATTTCCAGTGGCTTTGCCTATTCGAACTGACATCCTTTTCCTTGCGGGTAGTATTCCCTGTCGTGGCTTCAAACTTTGATAGTTGGCAGAAGACCAGGGTCATATGATCAGGAACATTGACTTTTATTACACCGATGTTTACCTGTAGAGTGATTTTCAGTGTATTCACATCAACCCACTGTGAAGCTGATGGTCAAATTGCTGTTCAACTAACTTCGCTACGTTGATATATTTTTGATTCGGCAGTGAATCTTCAATATCCCACTTTGTCCGTTAATTTTAATCTCACTGAATTCTAGTTTATCATTTAGTGCTTAACTAGCTGTCCGGCTTAGGAATAGATATTTTCTGATGACAGCAGTAGTTCTCAATAACGTTACTGAAGGCTTCCGATCCACCCAAATAACGTTTTGATTAGTTGAATGAATAAACCAACAAAAAATATACTACATTGACTATACTCCAGTTTGAAGGATTTCGTATCTGTCATCACACTTGCTTGGTAACTAGTCACTGCCTACATTTTCCCTGGTGGGTGTATTTCAAGAACGCTCTCTATCACTGCATTGAAATGTTTGGTTCTCCAAAATGATTGAGAATTCTTTTGTTCTAATGGTGTGTGAGTAAACCTTGTCTGATATTTGCCTACAATGAATGTTAGTTCGTTTGGTATTGCTCGATTCTCCAGATTTATGAGGTCCACGTGCAAAACTGTGCGCAAATGTCAGTGAAACTAAAATAGCCTGTTAAGGGACTACGGGGCATGATGTCCATTATATAAAGCACGCTAGGCTTATCTTTGTAAAGAAATTCACTAACCTCACTCCAGGCTCTAATCCTGGACCAGTGTGGGTTGCTGATTCTTGTTTTGAAAATTTTTTTAAGAGAATTTCTTTCTCCTGGCAGGTGTGAAAACAAAACAAGGAGTGGCGAGTGCCACTGGTAAGATTAATCAGAAGTATATAAAGGGGCGTTCATCGGCATAAAAACATCAAATAGCAGGGAGACATATTTGGTTTCAGCGAAGATAAATGATATGGCGTTATGGAGATACGTGGGAAACGTGAAAGGAAACCAGGGAAACAGAATATGAAGTCCAGAAGTACGACAACGCAAAAATCTGTGCAAATGGTACGTTGAAGATAGGATATACATAATTTTCCTATATAAATGTAGTAATTTCCAAATAAACATTCCTTTGCCAAGTCCTTCGCCTTCACCATTTCAATGGAGCTGGTGTGTCCGGTCGCAGATTGCTGTGGGAGTGACTAGAAAGGAAGGCAACTTGGTAGCAAGCAGCGGATTCTTTCCAGGATCCAATTCATCTTCAGTGTTCTTTTTATATATATATATATTTCTTCCTGTTTATGCAGGAACATACCACTTGTACAGGCATGGATAAGTTATTATATAAATTACACAGAATTTGATGTATGATGAATTTACAGTTTGGTTGTCCTTTCTGACATTAGAGTCAGTCGGAACAGTCTGCTATAAAGTTTGTTTGTGTAGCACATAAAGAGATATAGAAATATTGTCTTCGCATTAACAAAAAACCCAGACATCAGATGAATGTAATACAGATATCTGGGAAAAATAAAGCTTGAAGTCAATTCTCTTATATAACTTTGTTGTGAACAGCACCCTTGGCTTAAAGTTTATTGATGTATTATGTTGAGATCAGTGATATATTTATTCCATTTTTCAGCAGTCTTATCGTAGTTTTATAACAGGAAAGAAATTTGATCGTGGATACGAAAACTAGATAAGGTCATGTTAAGTTGTTTTACTGCATCAAATGGTGCCGAGGTCGATTCCAGAATTCTCCATTTGCTCCATTTGTGTCTGCATGGCGGACTGTATTCGTAAGTTGAGTAAAAATGTTGAAAACTGTTTGAAAACCAGTTGCTTCTTCATTTCAGATCATGAATACTCATTTACAGCATGTTCGCCAGCGTCTTCAAATGGTAGAATTGGATCGTTCATGGAATTTGAGTGGTTATGAGATAGACGGTTTGGAATTAATCCTCATTTCAGTTTAGATGCAGGGTTGTTCGACCTCGACCAGAAGATGAATAGGAGCAGCAGAATACCAGAAAGAGAAAGTATGTGAACATGAAAAGGACATTTAATATTTCATGCATATATAAATGTTTATGTCAATTGTATGTTATACTTAAGTAAATAGTTTTATATATTGCAGTTGTGTTTTCACGTATTTATGCGAAGTCTTAGAGTTTATTTAGTGTCATAATGTATATTAATGAGTCTAAGCGTTTTAGTGT